TCGTTATGTCCAAGACAGAAACCATGCGGTGAACTGAAATAACCAGCTGCCGAACCCATCGTTCCACCAACTACGTGCAGAAGAGACAAATCCAAAGCACTCACATTATTCTTTGGTGCGCCACGAACCACTGGCGGAATACCCTGAAAAAAAAAGAACATTTCAACGTTCATGAATGAAAAATTTCGCAAGCATTTTGGAGTTCCGGATCGGGCCGTTGTTCCGGCCGCTCCGTTACAAGTTCTTTCCTTTCGCCTATAGGTCCTCTATGGCCCGTACTGCCTTTTATTTATTTGAGGGAATATTTTGTGGATTAAAATGCATCACAGATCCGAACAAAAGAAACATGAGTGCCAAATTCATTATAAAACTTATTTTAGTAGCGAGGGAAAAAAGATCTTCATTTTCAGAGCACAGTAAAGAGGACCGGGAAAAAATCAGACAAACGCTATCCATTTTGAATTAAAAAACAAAACTATAACTCAGTCAACAAATAAAGTAATACGTCAATTTTGAGCACGGAAAATTGTCACTGGTATTGGAACCTTAAATTACTTATATTTCTAATAGCAACATCAATAAAATTATAAGCAATATCAATAAATACTTAGAAAAATTTGTTATTATTATCTACTTCCCATTGTGTCATGCGCGCCTTTGACTATTATTTTCTGTGTATGTATGAGCTAAAGATTTCAAATTCAGCTATTGCGCATGTTATGATATGAAGCTTGTTTTTGAGCAATCCTTGAACAAAAGATCCACAGAAAGTCTCATTAACAGAAGGCTTCAGTGCTTGCCACCTTGGAATACTTCCGATTGCCTCGATCCCTTATACACAGCGCTTGGTAAGTAGTGCATTTTTAGCACAATTACGATGATTATCGAGCACAGAGAACTTACAGCAGAGACGTAGTGATGTTCACCCAAAATTCCAGGAGCACCAATCGGACGAATAGCGTCAAGTGGTGAGGCAAGTTGTGATTGACGGCCAAGAGCCGGTATTGTTTGGCTGAGAGCCGGCGGCAATGTTGCCAGCGAAGGATTATCGAGCTGCTGCGAAATAAAGCGTAGCGTCGGATCCAGCAGTGTTTCCAGACGTTGTCGCGCTGCTGCACTCAACGGAAAAGCGTTACCTGCTGCAAGAGGAGCGACTGCACCAGGAAGGGCCGCTGCTGCTTGTGCCTGGAAATTTTTGCAAAATCCGAGGGCATCACCAAATTTCAGAAAAATCGAAATTCTCAAAAAAAAGGGTGCAAAATGCCCACAGTGTTAAAGCTAAAACAGTGTTAAAGTTGAAGAAAAAGAATGCCGTCAACGAAGCGACAGGTGGCTATGGATTTATTAGTATTTTAAAGCAGTCTTCTGCGCAACTTTTCCAGCTATTTAATAATGTCACTCTTTGTTGCGAAAGGAACAAGGTGCTAAAGGCAAGAAAATGGAGCTGCCGGCTAAACTTTTTCGCCTTGCTCAGCTGCCCTCGGTGTAATTATTCTTTATTTCCCTTCCTTCTCCGGCCCTTTTTCCCTCCTCTTCCCTCCTCCGCTCTTAACTACACTCTACCCCGTTTCCCCTCCTCTCCCTCGCCCCCCCCCCACCCCATCCCTTTGCATTTTGCCCTTTCCATAATGGCCAGTGCGCAAGGTGGCTTACAAGTCAAAAGTATAGCATTTCATTGAGAAAATGGTGGGTAGCAAACGTACCATCCATGAGTTAACCGGACGTGGCATTAGAAAACTGCTGGTTGTGATCGGTAGTTGTTTTGTGGCAGCTAATCCAGCAACTGGGGCATGTGCAAGGGGCAGTGCAGCAGCAGCGGTTGTGACACGTGCTTCCGGTAGTGGATTTGAGCTTGGCGGCCAATTATAGTACGATGATAAACTGTTATTGTTGTCCACCGAATTTTTCTTGCTCTAAAATACTTGCTTATTTTATGGAAAATAATCGATTTCGGGATTCTGCACACATCATGCTGGGGAAAATGTTTTTTTTTTTTTCAAATGACTGTTTTAGACAATCGAAATGCCAGGCTTCCTTGCCAGGTCATTCTCCCAGCAACAATTTGACTTAATTACATTTAGCATGTTTCATTTTATTTCATTCCTATTTATACCTTTCCCTCTTCTTACTTTCCAACCCTTTCCTCACATTCTCTGTCGTACTGATCAGCCTTTTACTACACCCTATTCTAAGAATCCGTGCACGCACACACACACACGCGCGCACACACACACACACACACACACATACATACACACATACACACATTTAAGTTTACTGTACAAATTTATTACTCTTTTACTACAACTTTAACTTTAATTTTAGCTCAAGCAATAAAAACGAAACCCCCCTCCCCTCTCCCCTCGCCCCTCCACCGATCTCAGACAACGCGTTACTGCTACAAATGACCACAGCATGGGGGAAAAAGTGGCCAAATATTATGCACAAGTTAGCTGCTTGATTCCAAGGTTTCACTATGAATGTAGGTGCTTGCGTACTGTTAAAAGACATGTCCTCAAGGGTAAAGGGCATGCTTTATCAAAGACTGCAAAAAACCACTTGACAATTTCACCCTCTTCTTCGGCGGCCCTACTTAGACCGTCCAATTTTGGTTCGGCCCTTCGATGGCCCTTCTATTCTAACATTAGGATTGTATAACAAAAATTTGAATAATTTTGACAGTTCTAATAAAAAGCATGAACAGAGACATGTAAAGTTAAGTAGTGTATGTTAACTATAAAAACAAAAAATTCACCAATTTCTGTGCCTTTTCCCTTCCTGATGGCCACTAGAAAAACTAACAGCCACCATTACACGTCAGACAATTAAGCTGCAGAGCAATGAAACGAGAAAGCAAAGAACGACCTGGAAGTCAGCTGTCGGTGAAGGACTGCTTGGTTCCGGTGGTACGCTTGATGGTGGCCAGCCATCCGTGAAATCAATCACAGGACTGCTCGTCGAACCGGTGTTCGGCTTATTGCGGCGTTCCATACCAATGGTTCCAGGTGCACGAGCTAAAGCAGCTGTAGAGGAAAACATCAGCCATTAGAAGCAGTATCATTACAAATAATATGAAAAAGCTAGCGCGGCACGTTACAAGTATATAATCACTGGCGCGCATTAGGCGGGCCTGTGCAATCATGCGTTTTTGCAATATTTCGTACTGTAGTAAAATCGCTTGGAATCACAACAGCTAAAATCTGTGACATACTGGTCCTCGAACTTCAGGAAATTAATTGTACAACTACCACGTGGTACTTGGAAAGGGAACATCCTGTCAAAATTTCAGCTCTCCAGCTTTCCTGGTCCCCCCTCCCCCCACCGCATTAATGATTTTCCAGCCAAAAATTTTCATGGGACCACAAGTGAAAACCACGCAGGCCTGGGGCTAAATTTTAAATCTTTGCGTCCTATATCCACATGGACAGGGGACATCCCCTCAAAATTTAAGCTTTTCAGATTCCCAAGCTAGCGACTTTTCCTCCAAAACTTTCGCGTGGCCGTACGCAGAGCCCTGACGTGCATGAGGGTTAGTGCCGCGGCCTTCTGGCAGCACTTGGCCGAGGAAGCTGCTGGCAAAATTTTGGCGCTGGAGCTCCTTTGGTTGCCGAGTTGAAATACTCAGGCACATATATATATATATATACATATATATGTATATGTATACATGTATATACATATATATATGTGTATATGTATATATATATGTATATATGTATATATATATATATATATATATATAT